TTTTTAAAGCTCATGTATTTGGTGGCATCAAAACAAGGGAGGTCTCTTCTAGTCCAAGTGTATTTCTGATACAAAGTCTACTAAGTATACGTCGACTTGGATGCTTTTTTTCTTTATATTTTCTCCTCCCTACTACCTTTTCTTCTCTCTCTTTTTTTTCTCCAAGCAAGTATTCTCCTTTAAGATGGTTTGACAAGGCACTATAACCAGCAGATGAGGAATTACATTGCTTTCCATGTGATCCCATGTATTTTACACAGAGAAGATGGTTCTTCTCATTTTGGTATTATCCTTAGTGTTTCATATGACTAAAAAAAAAAATTCGGCAGGAATTGACTATAGCTTTTCTACTTCATGGCTCTTGGCCATTCACTGAGAAAGCCCATGTGACCACTTTTAAGAGAGGGATGTGGCTCAAACCTCATCTTCATTTGAGTAACAGGGGCATAGTGTCAAACCTATGGGAGAGAGAGAGAGAGAGAGTGTATGTGTGTATGATTTTTTAGATTAGGGATTGAGGAAAAGTTTGCCCTAGTTAAGAATTCACCAGAATTGGGCTCCAGTGAAGAACTTACCTGGTGAGCTGACAAATTTTTATAAATCTGTGGCAAGACTGGCAGAAAGAAGATTTCCTTAGTCTTTTGATTTTAGGACAGGAACTCTGCTGGGGGGAGGGGAGGAGGAAGGCAGGCCTAGGCAGATGTTGCAGGTTTTCTTGCGGGAGACTGAGATGGATGAAAAGAAATTAGGAAGGAGTTTGGAGCTCTGAAGGCGAAGAATTTGGGGAATGAGGACTGATTGTCGTTTTTATCTGAATTTGACAGAGGTGATTTTTCTTTAGTTTTGTGGAAAAGGTGAAAATCAGATTGAACCAGGCAATGTGGTGAAGGGAAAAACATTTTGTGTGAAGGTAAGGACCAGTCACCATTGTGATGGAGGAAGGTCATGTATTTTCTTAGGGTGCATTTTCCAGTCCTTGATCAATCTGAGTGGGTCCTCAGGTGCCCATAATCTCACCAATAAACCTACTAATATTTCTGAATTGTGCTTTTTCAGCATAATACTGGCTTTATGGATTTCATTGAAACACAATACACCCAGGAGGGGGTAGATGGGTGGGAATGAATTGAACAGCTGTCTTTTCGTAAAATCAGAGCAGAATATTTATTTTTTGGTGGCCTACTCTTTGCTTAAAGTACTTGGATTGCATTTCTAGCTTAAGGGTTTTTTTTTATTAAGTGTTGAGTATGTTATGCTTCCATTTAAAAATGTTAACTCAAATGTCGAACAGCACTCTTCCTATTGAGAGCTTTTTGAACCGCACTCCTTAATGAAAATACAAAAGGAAACTCTTGAAAGCAAAGCAGCTGATGTACTGGCTGTATTTGGGTCTTCATTTGTTTCTACTTTAAAAGTCGGTGGGAATATCAGGATCAAAGGCAGGGTAATTCATACAGAAAATTGTCAGGTCACTTCATCCAGTGTTAAGAATCTTTGATCCAAATAGTTCACACAATGTCAGAAATGTCCCACAGGATAGAGATCTTTCTGGCAGTAAACTTCTCATTTAAACAGAAGGACTCCCAGGCCCCTTGCAACTGATAGGAACAAATGATACTCAGGGTTCTGCACTCCGTGTTTGGCTTTGAGACAAGAGTTGGAGTGGACAGTAAAAAGGTCCAGTTCTAAAGCTGGGTGCTGGTGGCACATGCTAGCTACCCAGGAAGCTGAGGATCCTGGTTCAAAGCCTGCCTGGGCAGGAAAGTTTGTGAGAGTTTAATCTCCAATTAAACATCAAAAAAGCTGGAAGTGGAGCTGTAGCTTACCTGGTAGAGCACTAACCTTGAGTAAAAAGCACAGGGACAGTGCTTAACCTCTGAGTTCAAGCCCCAGCACTAGTGCACACGTGCACATGTGCATACACACGTTCCAGTTCTAAGTTCAGCATTAAGTTTATGTATCAGTCACTAAAGTACTTTAAAAAAAAAGAGGACAGCAATGGTGAACTGAGATAATATGAAGGCCAGAGGTTCGTATCCTTTGTGATGGCTCTAAAATTCTATGATTTAAAGAACTTGAAAATTATCATTATTAAAGAAGAGAACTAGGAATTGCAGCCTATTTTCAGTGATTGATACTGAGAATAGTACAGTTTCTCCAATGTTGGAAGAAATGTAGTCATCAAAAATATTACCCATTGTAATTCAGAAAAACGAGCTAGTGAGAGTTTTTCACAGAACTCAGAGAAAAAGATATAGTTTATGTAAACAAATGCACATAGGACTAATTGAAACAAGAAACTCAGTCATTGATAATAAGTATTTTAAAACTGAGGCCTGACTTCCTATGATAACACAAGAAAGCATGCAGTTAGAAACTTCTTTAGCAGAGAAAGGATAGCATATATGTTATACATATATATTATATTGTTTATATGTATATGTATTCTGCCCTATTCTTGTTGCCTATTTAGGATCTGGGAATAAGCCATGCTTCTGCATCAATTTTGGTAGATTTTCCCCAAACTATAAAAGGAAACATCAAATAACATTTATACTGGATCTTCATAAACAATTGCAAAGATTTAGCATCAAAAGAAAATTGAGGCTTTGGTTTTTTAAATACAAAGAATCCGTACAAACTTATTTGCCTGGACCAATTCTTCGGGGGGAAAAAAACCAGAAATTTAAAAAAAGTTTTGGCCTTGGTATTCTGGGAGAATGAAGCCCAGCACCCAAACTTTTCTTTGATTTCTATTTTTTTCTTTTCTCTTCTCTTCTTCCTCCTTTTCCTCCTCTTTCCCCTCCCACCTCCTCCTTTTTCTTCCTCTAGCTGTACTTAGAGAATATTTTATACGACATAAAAGTCAAGATTCACCTTATCAATATGAAGCTCTTGATTACACACGTCTAGAGGAGAAGCTGTTGGCACACTTGTAATCCCAGGAACTCAAGACACTGGGGAATGGGGGTGTTTCTTGAGCCAGTCTGGGTATCATAGAAAGACCCCCATATTTAAAAAAAAGAAAGAAAGAAATGAAAAGTCTCTGCCTAAGGCAAAATTATGAACCCAAGAGTCAATAACAGTGACACCAATTATAAGGGTCATTAAATGAGTTGTAAAGTCCGTTTACACAAAACGCCACCAATTCTCAGCATTTTTTTTAGTTCTAATTTCTGACTTTAATATCTTCAAGTCACTCCTCACTGAAGGTCCACTCTTTTACCCACAGGCTGTGTGTGTGTGTGTGTGTGTGTGTGTGTGTGTGTGTGTGCGCGCGCGCGCGCACGCTGCAGTGGGATGAATGCTCTTTTGCTTTGCTGCAGGTCTGGGCCTCTGAGGTCTCTCCCTTCATCCTGTCCCTTGCCCCTAAGGGACGCGGCCGTGCTGGCACGCACTCGCGGGGCCTTGGTGCCCGGGCTGCGTGCGTGCCCCCGGGGGGGGGGGGGCGGCCGCCTCCAACTCCTGACCAGGGATGCGATGAGCTGGCGCTGTGGCGAGGCTGATCTCGGGGTGTGAAAAGCCTTTCCTCCCACGCCCCCGTGGCTCTGCCAGCTGCTGGGGTGCGCACAGATTGCGCGCAGAGAGCCCAGGGGATGAGGGACGGGGGTGGGCTGGGGGTCCCCCCCTTGGGGCTGGGGGTCCCCCTTGGGGCTGGGTCTAAAGAGGAACTGTCCGCATCGCGTGGCCGCAGGTGGCAGGCGGAGCTGTCCAGCACGGTGCCCAGCCTGAGGTCTGCGCGCCCCGCCGGCTGGGGCGGCCGTGGCCCCCTAGACGCCCTCCAGGCGGACGGGCACCCACATGTGGCCCCTGTCCTTCCCTTCCCGGTGGGGCGGCTGCTCTTGGGACGGCCAGGCTGGACGGCGTGCCCTTTCCCTGTGCCCCCTGAACTTCCTAAATAAAGTCCCAGCAAGGCTCGGGGTGGGATGGGGTGGGGTGGGGGACACATGGATCGGAGAGCCCCCATCCACCTTGGCGCGGCCGGGCTGCCCGGAGGGCGATCTCCCCCCCCCCCCGTCCCTGCGCCCGTCCCCCCCCCCCCGTACCCCGCCGTCTTTCCCCGAGGGCAGGGCAGGGCGCGTGGGGTGGGGGCCCTTGGGTCCCTGGGGCCTCGGTGCTCGGCGCGGGTCGGCCGGGAGGGCGCGCCGAGGACAGCACCAAGTGTCCTCGTTGCTCCTGAAACGTGGCGACAGGCGAGGCAGAGACTCCCAATGAGTGCGGTGGGGACACGTGATGCGGGCGGTGGGAGGATAAAGGGAGGAGGAGGAGGGGGGCGGGGAGCGGGGAAGGGGCGCGGGAGGCGCGCAGGCGGCTCCGGCACCAGCCGGGGCTCGGAGCGCACCGGGTCGGGTCGCGGCCGTCCTCCCTGCGCCCCTTCTGTCCGTCCATCCGTCCCCGCCGCCCCGCGATCACACACTCGCGGGGGGGGACCCGGGCCACGCGATCGGATCGCCGGCGGCGGCGGCGCCCCCCGCACCCCCCCCCCCCCAGCCCAGCCGAGCTCGGGGGGCCCCAACTTCCCGCCATGAGCGGCTGGTTCGCGGGGCTCCGCGGCCCCGGGGACTCCCGCCCGGCCGTGCGCGCCCGCAGCGCCCCGCGGCCCCGACTCGCCTAACGCCGCCGCCGCCGCCAACGCCAGCGCCACCGCCGATCGCTGATCCCGCCGCCGCCGCCGCGGTCGCCCGCACCGCGTCCCCGCCGCCCGCCGCCGCCGCGGCCCCGCCAGCACCATGTCTCGCAGGAAGATTTCATCCGAGTCCTTCAGCTCCCTGGGCTCCGACTACCTGGAGACCAGCCCGGAGGACGAGGGGGAGTGCCCCATGGCTAAGCTCTGCTGGAACGGCAGCCGGAGCCCCCCCGGACACCCCGGGCCCCGCACGGCCGCCGCCGCTGCCATCACCCCGGCTCCGGCTGCCGCTGTCACCGCCGCCGCCGCCACCGCCGCCGCCGCCGCCGCCGCCGCCGGGGCCCGGAGGGCGCAGCGCCGCCGGCGGGTCAACCTGGACTCGCTGGGCGAGAGCATCAGCCGCCTGACGGCGCCCTCGGTGAGCCCGCCCGCCCGCCCGGAGGGGCCCCGCGCCCCGCGCCCCGCAGGGGTCGGCGAAGTTGGAGGCGACCCGGGAGCGCGCGCCGCCGGGCCCCGCCGCTGGGGGGCGGCCGAGGGTTCCTGGAGGCCTTGGTGTGTGGGGTGGGGGGAGAGGCGGAGGGGGTGCAGGGGAGCTGGGGAGGGGGGTGTGTGGGACACTGTGGAAGCACTGAGGACCCCCCCCCCCACATACATTCTTCTCTGGGTCTCCTGATGTCAGCATGAGCATCCCGTGCGCCCACTTTCAGACCCGGGGACTCTCACTCCAGTGCTCCTTCCTGCCACCTGTTTTCTTTCCCCCAAACTTTCCCAGGCGCTGGAGGCGACAGCCGGATTTGATGTCTTTCATGTCTGTCCTCACCCTCTCCCAAAGGAGCGTGCCCCCCCTTTCCTCTCCCTTCCCCCTCCCTCCTCCCTCCAAGGCCCCTTCCCGGAAGTCCTTCCTCTCCCCATTTCCCACACCCTCTTGCTCTTGGCCTGACCTTCTCTGACCTCTGAATTCCTCTGGCCATCTGCGTCCTCCATGGCTTCCCGTTTTAAGACAGCCACGGGCAGAGAGTTTGCCCAGTTGCCTTCTGAGAAACCTGTAGTCTCTCCTCTGCACCCTGGCCTTTTATTTGATCTTCCTCTTCTTGTTTAAATTAGACGGTTGGTTCTGCCCTCTGCTCTGGGACTCCTTGGCTCCTGGTTTTCAAAACCTCTCTGATACTTCTTCCACCCTATCTCTCATCCTTCTCTTCCCCTTCATGCCAGTCTCCAGAACTTTCTGTTGCGCTCTCTCCCTCCCTCTCTCTCAAAGCCTTTCTTACAGGAAGCTCTTCACAGCCATGTGTCAAATGAACAAATGCTTGGCCAGACTTCTCCCAGTTGTGCTATGCTGGGGATGTCTGGATCAGCAGTTCTGGGGGAACACGAGTCTTCCCGCTCCTCTTTCCCCGCCCTCCACAGCCAGGTGGCCTGGGCCCTGCACAGGTGTTTACCAGAGGTCAGACCTCTGGGTCTCATCTTTCCCTGTCTTCATGAGCTCTCTTGTGAAGGAATCCACTCCAGGATAGACAGAGTGACCAGGAAGTTCAATGTTACATGGTTATCCAGCTTCCCTCTCCACACCTTGGGCTTTTTTTTTTTTTTTTAACTTTTCTGTAGTTTGCACAGTGAATCTGAACATTGACTACTCTTCAGTCTTGCTTTGGAACAACTCGTGCATGGCAGGCAGAACTGGAGAAGGAGTAGGATTCTGAGGGCCTGGGTTCTTGTATCTGGCAATGCTACAAGTTACTCCCATGACACTTGGTTGATGGAGAATGACTTCCTCTTCACAGTAAAACGACTCTGGAGTTCTTTTCTCATTCTTGGGTATTTTACTTTTCTGCCATGGTTTCAATAGCTGAGAAAGAGATCCCAGAATGGGCTGGCTGTTTTCTGAAACTATTCCCCAGGCAGCAGTAATTCTGCAAGTTACCTAATGTTGCAAATTGTTGAACATTATCTTTCCTAAGAGAAACTGAGTTCACAGTGCACCTGTAGGCTCCTGTGGTGTCCTGAAGCAACATTCGTGCAATGAAGTGATTCTTGAGTATGTTGTTCAGCATGCAGCAGATTTCATTCTTTAACATGATGATGTTACTGAGATGATGATTAGATTTTTTCAGGGAGGGGGATTGTCTTCATAATTGTAGAGTTTTCTTTTGGGGTAGGAATGAGGAGTTACAAAATCCTAAAGATGGTTGGTAGTACTTTTGTAATGACAATGTAACCTGCCATTTCAGCCTCTTTTAGCAGCAGGAAATACATGAAGGGCCCAATGTTTACTACTAGAATGAGAGGCAGGAATTGTCTCTGACAGTTACTTTTTTTTTTTTTTTTGGAAGTCAAATTTGAATTGCTCTGATAGGAAAAACAGGTGCTCAGGTAATGATTCTCAGAGTAAGAATTGTGAATATTGGTTGTGCTGAGCAGGGTGGCAGATCTAGTTGTCTTTGCTGCTTTGAAGAAGATCTGTGAGGTGGATGCTGAGAACAGAACAGTGTAAAACATCTTCAATCTCCCAAGGCACACGTAGGACATTTCTCCTCGGCTAACCTTCTCACCCATAGACCGAGGGACACAAAGAACGCAGAGAGAGGCTTCATTTCAAACCAGTGACTGAGTCGTGTGTGGCCCCCACACCTGACTGAGAATGTACTGCTCAGAAACTGCCATTGGATCCATTCTTCTGCATTGCCAGCCTTCTAAACTTAACTGGAAACACTTGGGGAGATGGAATAGGTCCCAGGTATTCTTTCTCTTTTGAGCTGAACTATTTTTTTTAACTGTCTAGAATAGCTATTTTAAAAAAAAAACCTGCCTAGGATAGCATTTTAAAGTGGGACTTGTAGCTGTTTTAAGCTCTGCGAGTCTTCCTCCATCCCGTCACAGTATCTTTAAACAAGACTGTGTTGGCTCAGGGACCTCCTGTTCACACAGTGGTCTTTCCATGGAAGGTCTCCATCACTTGGGAGTTGCTTTTTTTCAGCATGATTTGCAAGTAGCAAAATAAAACTGAGTTTTTAATACATGCTAGGACATTGTCGAGTCAGTGGAGGCATTATGTGACCCATGGAATACTCCAGATCAAGGGTTTTTTTTTGACATTTTAATAGTCATTTTTGAATACATAGATGTTGGATATAAAGATTATAATATTGCCTGGTGCTTGTACCTCATGCCAGCTCCTCATGAGGCTGAGATGTGAGGTTTGTGGTTTGAAGCCAGCCCAGGCAGGAAAATCTGTGAGTCTCTCTATCTCCAATTCAGCATCAAAAAAAAAAAAAAAAAAGCAGGAAGTAGAGCTGTGACTGAAGTAGTAGAGCACTAACTTTGAGCAAAATATAGGCCCCGAGTTCAAGCATTCCCCCCCCCAAATTATGATAAGACTTTATTATTTAAAGAATAAAATTTACAATAAAAAAACCTCTGATTCAATGAATAATCCTCATTCTAATTTTTTCCTATTTGTTTATCTCTGGGCATGATGAGCTCTCTTCTGATTTGTTGTGTTTATCCTTATTAGTCATTTCTACAAAGACATATAACATATGTCCTATAACATATAATCGTGTGGCATGTGAAAGAAACATAGGCTCTGGATGAAGTGTTTTAAAACTTTTGAAGAAAATAGACTACTTTCAGAAGTAGGTTTCATCCAAGTATTATGGAATTTGCCTAATTATTTAGAAAGTTGAGAATTTACTCTGTGGTAAGTTTGGTGGAGAGCTCTGTCAGCTGACATACTGAGTAGAAACATTCCCAGATGTGGATCTCCTGGAACTTACTTCAAGCCCTTCTTTTCAGGAAGTTGTATGGATGGGAAGCATTTAGACTTCAGCGTCTTGGAGATAATCTAGGGGAAGCTTTATTTATCATCCCTATTGGGTGGTTTTGTTCCCTGTGAATCTGGAATACAGCTAGGATAATAAAAATAACCTCCAAGACTTGACTAGAAGACATTATAAACCACTCATCACCTTGTTTATTTTGAAATAATACTTAGGAACACATATGGAGAAACAGCTGGGGATTTTACATCAAGGGAGAATTTAGTAGCTCGTTTATTTGGACTCGAGGTTTGTGTGTGTGGGGGGGGGGGGGGTGGGGTGAGTTGGTGTGTTGGCCCTGGGGCTTGTAATCAGGGGCTGGGCACCGTCTTTGAAGTTTCGTGCTCAAGGCTAGTATTCTACCGCATGAGCCACAGCTCTGCTTCCAGCTTTTTGTTGGTTAATTGGCCTAAGAGTCTTGTGCACTTTCCTTGCTTGGTCTACCTTTGAACTATATGATCAGATCTCAGACTCCTGAGTAGCTATGATTACAGGTGTGAACCACTGGAGCCCATCTTGGACTTTAGCTATATGAGAGTTGCATAGGTTGGTCTATCCCTTTGCTATCAGCTTTGAGTTTGCTAATGACAGCCTGTCCATGGTGAAATTGCAGTGAATCGAGGGTGTGGCCTGCCAGGTGTGTTTATTAGAGCACTATTGGTTGTGTGGGCATTGCAGGAGGCTGCAGAAATATGGGAAGAGAAGTAAATGAACTAGAACAAAGGCAAATGAGGAGAGGGAAGCTACTGACTGATACAGGAAATTATCCAAAACAAAACAAAGGAAACAAGGAGAAATGAAAGGAAACTGAGGTTCATGTGACATTATATTACTAAAAGCTTAGGCAAAAGCATAAGAACACAAAAGATACCTAGTTATTATCCCCCTCTAATGGTAAATAAAGTTAGCTCACCGACATCAGCAAACTCCTTAAAAAAATCCTCAAAGTGTGGCTGGAGCTAACTCAGTAATGATGAAAAATATGCAACATTGATTTGTGTGCTAGCTAGGATATTTTTGGTAGTATATCTATGGTTTCGATTTTGGTTTCAGTCAGACTTAAAAAGTGCCGAGAAACAAATTATGGAATTAGACACAGTGTATTCCAGTGTTAATTTTTTTTCTCATTTGTGGAAATTAGATGGAATAATGGGAAATGAGAATTTCAGGGCTGTATATTGCTTCCCTGGACCTTATTACTAATCATAGAGAAACAATATGGCAGAATTTTAAGAGCATGTCTGTGGGTCTTGGCCTAATAGTCCCTACAAGCTATTTTTTGAGGAAGAGACCCTGAAAAGCGAAAAATGCCAGGAACTGGTGGCTCACACCCATAATCCTAGCTACTCAGGAGGCTGAGATCTGAGGATTGTGATTCAAAGCCAGGCTATGTAGGAAAGGCTGTGAAACTCTTATCTCCAACAAACTACTCAGAAAATGCCCGACGTAGCCCTGTGGCTCAAGTGTTAGAGTGCTAGCCTTGAGCACAAAGAGGCTCAGGGACAGTCTCCAGGCCCTGAGTTCAAGCCCCAGGACTGGAAAAAAAAAGGGATTCTGAAAAGCCACCTCCTACCTGCTTGTGCTTGTAGTTTCTCTCTTTTGT